CCTTCTTCGCGCCTGCTCTCTCTCTCTCTCTCTCTCTCTCTCTCTCTCTCTCTCTCTCTCTCTCTCTCTCTCTCTCTCTCTCTCGCATGCCGATCTCCAAAACCTGCCTTCACAATGTGATAAACACTTACCTGGCAACCCGGCTACCTCCTTCACGGCTTCTCTCTGCTCTCTCTCTCTCTCTCTCTCTCTCGCGCGCGCGCGCAGCATGCCGATCTCGAAAACCTGCCTTCACAAATTGATAAGCACTTACCTGGCAACCCCGCCACCTCCTTCACGCCTGCTCTCTCTCTCTCTCTCTCTCTCTCTCTCTCTCTCTCTCTCTCTCTCTCTCTCTCTCTCTCTCTCTCTCTCCGTGTGTGTGTGTGTGGCACAGACGCTTGAAGAAGGAAATATCTATCGGGGGAGGTCTTCCAGTCGGAAGCAGAGATCCAGATATCTAGATCGGGATAGGGACCAACCTGAGATGTCGTGGCACATGTCGATGCTACCAGCTCCCAAAGCCCCACGCTCCATTCTGTCCGATCCGCTAAACGAGAAACATCCACCGTTGGATCCACTGTGCATTTTGCTCCGAAGTTTACCGGCAACGTTGTTGACGGGAGAACTCAACGGCGGAAACGACCGACTTTGTCCGCCGAAAAGCGACCTCTGCGAAAAAGTAGAGGGATTCGCCGCTTTTCCACCTCCCTCCCTGCATGGTCCCATAGTGCCAACGACAGCGGCGGCGGCGCCGCCGCCGCCGCTGCCGCCGCCGCTGCTCTCCGTCCCAATCCGGACCGCGCGCAGCAGGGACGTTCGAGAATCAAGCCAGGAAAGTCGGAGACAGCGCCACGTGTCGCGCGTACTGGATGTCGGGGCCAGCAACCCATCCCTCGACGTTGAACAAACCGAGCAATTCCCCCCCGCGTTGTCGTTGAAAGCCTGCCAACTGCAACTTCTCAGAGGGCGCGGCTCCGCACTGGTAATATGATGGAGAAGGGGGCAACCGGCTCCTACTCGTCCGAATCTGCCCCCTCCGTCTCGATCGCTGGCCACGTGTCGCCGATGCGTGCTGCTGCTGCTACTAGTGCTGCTGCTGTGAGGATCCCCCTGCGAAATGCCAACATGGACATAGGACGAAGCGTGTGCTGCCAAAGACAGCATTGAAACAGATAGTATACTATCTGTCTCTGAAGATATATACGTATATATCGTCACAAACAGAACTGCCCGGTAAACCGTAGGCAGAGAGAGAGAAGAGGACAACAAACGAGGAGCTGTGACAAACTGTTTCGTCGGAGTTTCACCGACTCATCAGGAGGGTATATATATATATATATATCGTCTGTCTCTGAGGGTTATCTGAAGACATATACGTATATATATATATATATATATCCTCTGTCTCTGAGGGTTATATCTATATATACTATCTGTCTCTGAGTAGGGGGACCGTGCAAGTCACCGAACGAATGTAAGCCACGGTAGGGGAAGGTAAAAGATGAAACACCCACTCTGGCAAGCGTCAAGTGGGCGAGGTTGCAAATGAGGACATCGATCTGCGACCCCTTGTACAAGGCAAAATCTGTCTACTATCTAGTTGAGGACACTCGAGCCAGGCCCCAAGGTGAGGGGGGAGGTACAAGATGAACCACCACCATCACCCTCGAGAGGAGGAAGAGACAGATGACCCAAACCACAGAAGTGCGACGCGGAATAGAAACAAATGTTTCTCCCTTCGGCGACAGGTTGGGTTGGTCGACGGTGAAGCGAAGTGTGCGCCCACCAGGGGCAAGGTCCCACTTGCACGGATTAAGAGATTCTGGCCGTTGATCTTGGCTATCTACGGTCAATATCGCTTAATTCGTGTAAGTGGGACCTAGCCCCAGCACAGGGGAAAGGAAGAGTTGCCTGATAGCGTTGGGCAACCAGATTAGAGGAGAGGAGTGAAGATGTGCGAGCAGCAGCGCTCGAAGACAGGAAGCTACGGAACGGAGGCAAACGGCCGGACGAACAAGGGACCCACGGCATTACATGGAGTTTATAATGTGAATGCTCAATTATTGAAGATGAAACCGCGAATGCGCGGGGTAATAATTGAGTGCGCGCGGGATGGAAAAGCTCTGGGGTACAATTGCGCGGCAACAAGAAGAGAGAGAGGACCAAGCAGTTGGGGCCGGCAGCACATCACACAGAGCGCGATGACGGGAGCTATGGCAGGAGCTATGGCAGGAGCTATGCGGGAGCTAAGGCGGGAGAGATATGGCGGGAGCTGAAAAACGGCAGTCTCTGAGGACCAACGTTCCCAGCCACCCACCCACTCGCCCGCCTCACTGCCGCCTTCCTGCTCCAGTGCTTGAAGAAGACGGCCCACCAAAACTTGATGAGGCAATACCGAACAGCACGACAAAATGGGCGTATCTGACCTTGTCTACGGCCAAGTTCTTCAGTCACCAAGCTCCTCGCGTAGTGCGCACCCAGAGCGCGTACGTTTCCGCAAAAAAGCGGTTCGATGCATGCGTAATTAGAGAGCGGAAGCGGACCGCGAAGCAAGAACCGCGCCACACGAACCCAGCAAACAATTGGTCCCTACCAGAGAGGCGGGAGGCGCACCAAGGCCACCTCTGCCTATAATTCCTGTGCGGTGGGCAGGTGCTTCAATGCTGAGAGCAAATCACAGCACCAGGACTATCCTGCATGCATCTGACCGCAATGACGGTTGTTCTACAAGTAATCGTCCATAGAGACAAGCCAAAAAAGTCTTTATATGACTCGGATGCAATGATCTATATGGCAGAATGCCAACGCGGCAGAAGCTGCGGTTGAACCGTCCCCATGCACTGCTCCATCGCTGTGCGGGCTCCGTGCACACAGGACCGTCCCAACTGTCTTTTCCGCGCTTCATCCGCCCCATCCCGACCAAATGGAATTTTAGAGTGACGGTTCGGTAAGTGTACGATGGCCCCTATTGTGTTCGCTGTTTTTTTAATTCACTTTTGGCGGGCTTGGCTAGAACCGTTCAGCGGCGAGTGGCGGGAGATAGAGCACCTCGCCAAAAACAACGTTGGCGGTCTTGATGGTTAGCATGGACGTCATGTGCAACAGAGAGACATGTCGGTGCTTACGCTATAGACAGGACTGCAGATCGGCGACCTGATTTCTGCTACCGTAGGCCAATTAGCCTGGCTCACTGGCTCATTTCAGTAGGGTCAGCTCAATATGATTGTGAGCATGCCTGAACAAAAAAGAGAAAAAGCACCAACAAGTATTATTGTGGTATGTGGCAAGGCCAAGAAGCTGCGAAAAGGCGAACTGCCTCGTCCGCGGGGAACCCCTCACAACTTCTGTATCCAGTAGACGGCGTAGATGAACGTGTGCGGGTCTCTTGTTTTTTCTTATCGGTATTTTTTTCCCTTGTTTTCGGTTATCCGTAATTTGAGTTCTATACCTGGGTACTCGGTTCTACCTCTGCAGTAGGAGGGCAGCAGCCCGTCAGGATGCGCTTTTCCCCCCTGACACATTCAACGTTCAACGTCAATTTCAAGGTCAGTGGTCGTCAGGAGGGTGGGCATTTGAGGTTTTGGGGCCTTGCAAGGGCCAGGAATGC